CAGTACTTAGATTAAATTAACTTTACAGGATAACGCCCGGGCAGTCTTAATATTGTAAATAACAAGTCCTGCAGTGTTGGTTAATTTCAAATTACAATAACTTGGCTAATTATGAACATATTTTGATATTTCTTTCAGTTTTGTATTTTTCGTTTCTAAATATATGAGAATAAGTTACTTCAGTACAGTTTACTACACAGGTGAAAGCCCGGGCGGTGTTTGTATTACAAATAACAAATGTCTGGCTCTACTCCAGCGGGTTGTTGCGATGTTACTAATTTCAAATAACCATAACTCGGTCAAATCAGGGACGTATAGTACTGTCCCTGGTCAAATTTAATGATTTTTTCACCGTTTTTTTATCACTACATTCATACTGTTACAAACAATGCAAAAAATACAATCATGATGGTGTATAAGTGGAGACAAACGCCCGGGCGGTCAATATATCACTACCGGGCTGTCCCGGGCTGTGCCGGGTTCTACCGGGCTGTACCGGGCTGTAATTAGTAGAACCCTCCTGTCAGCCATGTGCTCTTCTGCTGGGTCGCCTGTGCCCTTTAATCGCACGTTTCAAATACGTACATTTTAAGCGTTTTTGTAGCATTGAATACTTCAAGGGCGCAGGGACCTCATGGCGAAATGTCGCATTTACTTCGTGTTAGCTGCTCTTTTAGAACATCACTGACGATACTAAAACGGTTTCCAGAATATCGGACATGTCAACACTTACAACTACAAGGTAAGCTATATATTGCATTCCGCTTGGCTGACGACATGCAGTTCAACACCTCTCAACACTGAAGGCAAATCTCCTTTCTCACAAATTCTAAGCGTACATGTTGTTTTTATCATACAGTTCTAAAAAATAAAAAAATAAACACTTCGTTTTTAACCGATCTCTCTGACGCCTCTAAATAATGTTCAGTATATGGAACGTTTTAGAGTATCCTCAACGTTACACTGCACCCTTACGTTATATCACACGTTTTGTTTTTACAACCCACAACCCACAGTAGACTGACGATTGACCACAGGTGCCTATCGCGAATGTGGAAAAACTAACCTCATTCAACCTATCTGAAACATGGGCCTGAACATTTGTTACAGCTATATTTGGACCTAAACTGATGTGTTTAGATCCTTTTTCTGTAAAGATGCCCCCCCCCCCCCCTCCCCCAATGATGGTATATATTATAGTAAGGTATTGTATACAGGCTCATGTCAGTGTATATAGTATGTAATGGGCAGCTGATACGGAAGTTGCTTGGTATACCCATGTAAAAACAATGTCAATAATGACCTTTACAGAAATGATTTGTCAAAAATGTTGTTGATTTTGTCAGAAAAGTAACTTTTGAATGCAGAATTATAGTGACGCAAAATTGCATTGAATATTACAGTTCATGAAAAATATTACCTGTACATGCATTTCTGAAGTTTCCGTGTATTCAGAATCACTATTATCGAGAAAATGTAAGAAAATGCTTCAAATCTCAAGAATGATTGCATATATTTTCATTGGATATTTTACAATAATACAAGTCAAGCTAGATCACCTGAAGTGAATGGTGTACAGATAAAATCTCACTTGTTTTGCATGCTTTTTCCAACCTCAGTCAGCCTTGTTGGCTTTGTGCACAGTTGTGATATATTCAGTGGAAATATATGCCATTATTCTGGAGATTTGACACATTTTCTTACATTTTCTCAATGGTAGTGAATACATGGATACTTCAGTAATCACGCGCCACTCAAATTCTGCATTCAAAAGTGACTTTTCAGACAAAATCAACAATATATTCCACAAATAATTTCTGCGAAGGTAATTATTGACATTGTTTTTGACATGAGTATACAAAGCAACTTTCACACTTGATTCATTTTGAGGGAAATTGTGAGCCCATTACAAACTATATACACCGACATGCTGTATGAAATACCTTAAGGCAACTCCACCCTTTGGCAATTAGCCAGCAGAATTCAATGAAAATTTCACATAATGGTTATGTCACTATGTAGAGATTTTTTATGAAAATCTAAGCATTCCGATAAACTTGGGATTTTTTTTTAAATACTGTTTTTTTTTGTCAAATTCAACACTTTCACAATTTCTGAGCATGTGGCATTGTTCAAAATATAATAATGAAAAGAAACATTGCTAATCAACCCTACAAATATTTGATTTATCATAAAATATCTACAACATGTTACAAAAAGCATTTTTTTTTTGAAATTGTATGGATAAAAGTTACTTAATACAAGCCAAAAGCAAACAGGACACATGGTTTCATTCAAAAAGAGTGCAAAATTGAACCAAATACACACAAAGTCTTTATAATTAATTTATTTTACATATTACAATAATTTTGATCCTGGTGAGAGTTGTCTACCTTGAAAAAAATCAGAACTTTTTGCAGAGGGATAGAATTTATACAATGACACCTATTTTCTTTACTATATCAAAAACGACGGAAATAAATTAAATTATTATATTTAATTGTCAATTTACTGTTCTTTAATGGAACAAAATTACTCTCAATCATGTACACTTTGGACATCATTCCACAGCCCGCTTACGCATAGTATATTAAACATGTCCGGTACATATGTAACTATAAGCTATCGCATGGTATGCCGTTATTACGTGCACGCACATGCACCTGCATTTTATAGGGATCTTGATATTTTACAAACCACTATTTTCACAGAGTTATTGTAATTGCATTTGTGAAACGATTAATCTGACAGAGCGTAACACGCTCGACATCAAAAATCGTAGCGGCCAATTGCAAGAGCTTGTGAACTACTGTTAGCATGCGATACGTACAGGTGAGGTCGATAATCAAAACACATCAGTCTGCATTCCATGCGCCTCATATACGACCTTCTTGAAGTCGTCTGATCGTATGTCAGTGTTTTCCCGTTAGTTAATTAATGTCTTTGTATCATAAGCTTTATTTCTGAAGTGTGATTACACATTTCCACGCACGTGTACTATTGTTTACAAGGTGTTACTATAATTTACACTACGGTAATGGAATGCACGATATGCAATACGGAAATGACGACACGTAAATACGACAAGAAAAACATGTGTATTACGAAGGGTGGAAAGTCCTTAAGCAGGTCCAGTACACTCTGCCGATTGAGCTATATAGCTGTAAAGACCTATAATAGCTCTATTGACCTATCTGAAATAGATCTTTTGAGCTCTTTTCATGTAATTTTCTTTTTTTAGGAAAATAAAACAGTCGCTTTAAAAAACATTTTATCTTATTAGGTTGATAACAAAAGACATTAAATATAAGTATTCTTTTTAAAAAATAATGATGTAAAAAAATCAATCAAAAATCACATTAAATAATATTCAATAATATTCAATATTTTGTAGAATTTATCTATTTAGGACCCACGCAAACGGTGACAACACAAACCAAATTCAACAAATACAAAAAACACAACAAAGAGCAGCACAATACGTAAACAAACAACAGATATCACAACACCAGCTCAGTTACAGACATGATCCACAGACTACAATGACCAACACTACAAACACGATGCTTTCACACAAGAATAATCTGGGTTTTTTTTACAAAATAGTACACCAACTTTAGCAATAAACCCAACATCTATACTTACACCCGTAGACCCTCAAACCAGACATGCACACCCTCACACATACAAACACATATCTGCTACAAAGGACACCTACAAATATTCATTCTTCCCACATACAATAACACAATGGAATCCCCTACCCATAGCAGCAGTACAATGCACAACACTTGAGGACTTCAAGACACTCATACCCTATACAGCCCTTGAAGCCCTCTTGACACACTAGTACATACACCAGCTTTTACCTTTTGTCTTATACCCTGTACAAAAAAACGCCTTATCTAATCACTGTGAATAATCCCTTTTTTCACGCCTCTGTGCCCCGGTTCTCCAAGGCATAATCATCAGTATATTGATGGAGCCATTGTACTCATTAGAAGAAGAAGAGCACCACCCTACTTATATATATATAATTCATAAGATTACTCAAAAGCCCTTACAACATATGAATAATAGTATTACAGTCGAATCTGCTCAAGCGACCATCTGTATTAAGCGACCATCTGCTTTATGCAACCACTTTTCATTCCACCCGACCACAGGAACTGCTATCATTTCAACAACAATATCTTTCGTAACAAGTTAGCTTAAATCATGGTACTTGCCAAAAACACTGTCGTGAAAGTTTAGAACTTCAACAAGTCTCAGGCGATCATTTGTTCTGAGTGAAATGACAATTCTTCTCAAACACTCTTAGTTGTTTGTTTACTGTCATAATTATCACTCAACTATTGTTTAGTTATACACATGATCTGTTGAACGATGTTGTTTTAAACTACCTGTACATACATGTGTAAAAGTGTGCTTGGGGTGGTGGTGTGTTTACAGTTGTCGTCTGAATAAGGAGTCGTTTGGTTATAGTCGGTTGTGTAATTCTATACAAAATAATATGGTCAAACTTTATTAAACGACCACTTTTATTAAACGACACTTTTTAATCAATTTCCCTTGCATGGTCGCTTAATACAGATTCCACTGTAGTTATAATAGATAAACAAAACAGGCATACAAATCACCATTACGGTAAACCTCCGGTCATTCACCCCCCCTGAAGACACATTTGAACTCTTCCAATTCAAAGGTTGGAATAGTTCATAACGGTATGAAATTTCAGGGGTGAATGAGTAAATGCTTATTCTGTTGATGTTTTGTTTTCAGAAAGAAGCTGTGCGAACACCAGGTTACGTGTTGTTTCAAAGGCAGTTGACCAATTGAAAAAAGAAGCAAGGATTGGAAAAAGGAAAAAGAAATTTCTTACAACAAAAGCAAAATTAACTCAAAATATCAAACCAGTTAACACCACTCCGCATGAGTTTTCCAGACATAGAGATCAGGTAAGTTGTGTACCATGTACTACTACTAATCTAAAAATATATAACAAAGCCAAGCCAGGATTAGAAATCTGGGGCCCTGATTACGGAGAGGTTCCTCTAACACACTGCTATAAATGTAATCAGTGGTAGTTCTCTGGACCAGTCTGACATCAGTTACATCTATAAAACAACATTACGGAGAGGTTCCTCTAACACACTGCTATAAATGTAATCAGTGGTAGTTCTCTGGTCCAGTCTGACATCAGTTACATCTATAAAACAACATTA